AAGGGTGGAGTCGAGAAAATTTGGATTCCATCATGATGTCTTGCATCATATTACACAATATGATAGTGGAGGATGAGCGAGATGGGTATATTGATGGAGAGTCCGATGACGACCAAGAAGATCGAAATAGGTCAAGAATGGCTTGTGCAAAAATATATGATGAGCCTAATTTGCCTTTCAATCCAAGAACTGGTAGTATCTCTATAGATGAGTACATGAGGCGCTATAGAATGATACGTTGTCGTGCCACAAACAAGTACCTACAACAAGATCTTGTTGCACATCTTTGGGCCCAAAGAAGCATGGAGTAGGCATTTACGTTTTATGTTTTTAAATGTTTTTAAAAATGTTGTTTAAGTTTCATGTTGTATAATTTTTATGTTGGTTAATGTTATTTAATGTTGTTTCATATTGTTTAATGTTGTTTCATGTTACTTAATTTAATTTAGGGAGTTTTAACGAAAAGCCCATGGTACTGTTCACTTTAACGAAAACCATATTTTTACACTAAAAAGTCAAACATTGTACTATTCACTTTACCCTTTATTTTGTCCTTATCATTAAAACTCAAAGTTTTCAAGCTCTTTTCATTAGTTTTCCTTTTAATTTAATGTTGTATAATGACTTAGGAAGTTATAGGAAAAAAAAATAGAATTTAAAAAAAATATGAAACAAATTTTGTGAAATAGAAGTTATAGAAAAAAATGGAATTTAAAAAAAAATATGAAACAAATTTTGTGAAATAGAAGTTAAAGGAAAAAAATGGAATTTAAAAAAAATATGAAACAAATTTTGTGAAATATAAGTTATAGGAAAAAATGAAGGAAATTATTGAAAAATTGAAACAAATATTATAGATGAAGGAAATATTGGAAAATATATTGAAGGAAATATTGAGAAATATATTGAAGGAAATATTGAAAAATATTGAAGAAGGAAATATTGCAAATGAAGTGAAGAATTGAAAGAACTTCACCATATTTATAGAAGAAAAGAAATGTTTAAATTAAAAAAAAAAAACCCAACGGCTAGCTGTCAGCTAGCCGTTATATTAAAAAATATTTCAAACTATTAGTGTCGGTTATAACCGACACTAATAGTAAATAATTTTTTTTTTGCCTATGAATACCTATTACTGTCGATTATAACCGACAGTATTAAAAAATCCTTCTTTAATGATGTCGGTTATAACCGACAACAATAGGAAAACTATAAAAAAAAATAGCCAGCCAGCCAGCCCTTTGGCCCTTTGAAATTCCGTGGAGCCCTCCCAGATTCCTGAGCTCTCTGGCCTAGTCCCCATCATCTTCAGTGTGTCTGTTATTGCAGTTAGAGAAGCATTCCACAGAAAAAAGAGGGTTACACCTTCAGTTTATTCGCGCAGAGAACCAGCATGTCCAAAAATATATGTTACTCGATTCTTAAAAAAACTGTATGGCATGAAAAAATAAATTTACAAATTGCTAATTGCTAATTTTTTTGTTTTGTATAAAATCTTTGTTCACTCTACTTGAACAGGTACACATGTTAAGTTTTCTTTCATCCTATCTTTGGCACAGAAAGCACCATTAAAATTTAAACTTTTTTTTTCATATTGTTTGTTTGTTTTATTTTTCCTCTCTCTCTTTCTCTCTCTCTCACACACACACACACGCACACTCACACCCCTATGCATGTTACTGAGTTAATCATTGTGTTGACCAAAGTAGGTATAAGCATAACGATTGGAGGTCGTTGGTTTAAAACTTCAAGTTGCAAAAACAAAAGAAAATTGTATTACTATTTGATATAGATGTAGTATAATATATTGATTTTCAAGGATTTTTGGTCTTTGCAGGGTTTTATCTGGCTGAGCAAATGCCTTAGCCATCGCTCTGTGGGTTTAATTTTCTTTTAAGCAAGGCAATATAACTATGAAATTTAGAAAATGGTTGATGAGGCAACATTCCTATTAGTTCCTGTATTAGTTTGATTTTAATTGAATAAATTTGTATAATGTAGAGTAGAAATCTCGAACTTCTTATATGAATGATGTTTGCGTGACATAAAGAATGGGTGACCTTTGAATTGGGGCTGTTGCTGGATCGGCAGGTAAAATTTGAAACTTCGTCTATGAATGTTTATTGCATGCATTTGTGTTCCTTATGTGTGCCTTTCTCTGCAACATGTCCATGAAGATTTATTGGGTGAGGGAAGTATGTAAATGGATAGAGACAGAGAAGCAAACACAAGATGTACGTGGGTAGAGGAGTTCTCATTAATTGTGAAAGGTTTACACAAGTACATAGGTTCAAACTCTCCTTTAGTGAGTACTAGTGAATGATTTAGTACAAATGACATTAGGAAATATTGTGGGAGAATGATATCCTTTTATAAAAGAGAGTTTCTAGCTTTGTTTTGACATTGACACGTGTCGTGTTGTGATTGACTTCCGATGTTGACACGTGTCGCGCTATGATTGACTTCTGATGTCTACACGTGTCACGCTGTGATTGGCCTCCTGGTTGGAGGGAAACTCTTATGGGTCCTTGACGGTATAACGTTGACCAGTGCTCAGTAGTTTCGGGATTGGTCAAGTATGGTACAAACAGTGCTACCCTAAATTCCCGAGTGAGGGAAGCTCCTCGGTTAGGGACTTGCAAGATCCAAGCCGCTGAGTAATCACAAAACTTCTAAGCACCGAAGTGTGGTATCGTTTTCACTTGCCTTATCTGTCTCATAGGTAGATGTGACATCTTCTCTATAACTATATTACAGTTGATCGTACAAGAGAAACAAACATTTGTGAAAGATCTATAATGCATTTTGATTGATCAAGATCAATAGTATAAAACTATATTTAGCCATTTATACTGTATCAGCATAAGCTTGAAAAATGTATAACCTTGAAAAAGTGAGCCACATTAGGTCCGGAAGAAGAGATGGAGCAGAAGAGAGAGGAAGCCGTTGCCATGGAAGGAGAGAGAGAAAAAAATTTATGTGGGGCGAGTTGGCACAGTAGAGTTTCACATCCTTAATTCATTCATATAGAAATTATATATGCGCGATGTTATTCTTACCATATTTTTATGCCACTTTATATGGCATATGATGTGGACATGCATATCATTTAAATTAATCATAATTTAATTTAAATTGAAAACCATTTAATAAACCAATGATTAAAAAAAAACTGGAATTAAATGGTGATTGTGGCATAGGATGAGTCTTCTCCTTCCTTTCCCATTCAATCCTGCATCTTCTCCCATTTCTTCTTCCACGCCATTTTTTTTCAACCGCCTTTTAAAGAAGGAGAAGACTCTTCGTATACCACAATCACCATTTAATTCCAGTTTTTTTTAATTATTGGTTTATTAAATGATTTATTAATTTAAATTAAATTCTGATTAATTTAAATGATGTGGCTGTTCATATCAGATGTCACATAAGGTGATATATAAATGTGGTATAAAAACATGGTAAGAATATCATTACCATCCATGGCAAGTTAGCCATTTTCGAGCCGTTTTCCGACCAAACGCCATCGAGAAAGGTACCATTATGTTCGTCTCATCCAGAAGTATGATTTCCGTTTTTGAATCACTCGATTTTGTTGAACATTGAAGAAGTTATGAACGTTTAAAGTTTACCCAGTTTCTGGCGAGTTTTTCAATTTTTTCGTGGATCAGTCACATTTTAGGCTATTTTCCGGCCATTTCCGGCAACAGTTGGGCTTCCAAAAAGGTATAATCTTATTCTACACTTGTAACATCCCACATCGCCCAGGGGAGTGATCCTTAAATGTATATTTTCATCCCTACCTAGCACGAGGCCTTTTGGGAGCTCACTGGCTTCGGATTCCATCGGAACTCCGAAGTTAAGCGAGAAGGTGGCCAGAGCACTCCCAAGATGGGTGACCCACTGGGAAGTTACTCGTGAGTTCCCAAAAATAAAACCGTGAGGGAATGGTAAGCCCAAAACGGACAATATCGTGCTACGGTGGTGGAGCGGGCTCAGGAAGTGATCCGCCCCGGGTGACGATGTGACAAATAGTATCAGAGCCAATCTCTGGCCAGAAGTGTGCCGACGAGGACGTCGGGTCGGCTTCGGGTTCCATCGGAACTCCGAAGTTAAGCGAAAAGGTGGCCAGAGCACTCCCAGAATGGGTGATCCACTGGGAAGTTGCTCGTAAGTTCCAAAAAATAAAACCGTGAGGGAATGGTAAGCCCAAAGCGGACAATATCGTGCTACGGTGGTGGAGCGGGCCTGGGAAGTGATCCGCCCCGGGTGGGGATGTGACAACACTTTCCTATCTTCAGTTTGATATATTATGGGTCAAATTTGGTTAAGAAACGATTGAGCCACGAAGTTTTAAAAATTGCCCAAAAAGTTTAACAGAAGGATCAAAATCATGAATGGTGGATAATCTCAATGATCATTTATATTGATTTTCAATCTCAGTAACTATTTATATTGATTATGCAAATCTTAAACACTATTTTGACTATTTAGTCATATATACTAACGCGCAATGGAAAAAACACTGTTTCTTAGCACAATGTAAAGATGAAGATGCCCCATTTTTTGCAGCTGTTATTGCCCCACTTAAGGGGTGTATTTAATTGAGAATTTGAGAGATTTTAATAGATTTATAAATCCATGGATTTTTATGGAGTTTAATTGATTTGTAGAGATTTCATATTAAATTTTGATTCAATTCTGTTGAAATCTCATGAGAGAGGTGAGATTTGTGGATACTTAAAATACACTACGAAATCTTTCCAATTCCCTCTAATTCCTCAACTTTCTCAAATTCTTTAAAATCAATTTCTAATTGAATACACCTAGAATGTTATAAACTTCTTTAAAATCCTAATTGAATACACTCATATTTCTAAGAATTTTAATAAACTATCTTAAAATTCTATTTGAATACATCTTAAATTTCAGAGAATCACTTAAAATCCTGTTTTAATACCCCAATTGAATACATCCCCTTTAATTTGACAGCACAATAAAATTCCGATAATACTCCTGCCTACACGTTGGGGTGCTTTGCCTTTCATCCACACGCTTTACTGTTCCCAAGTCTGGATGCTTCCGCACCTTTGATCCACAAGCACCTCTTCTTTTCGCTCCGTTTCGTTGCTTTCTCCTCCACCGCATAGTTCTTGCTTCGGTAACAATCAGACACGTCCCCGCACCTTTTCCTTCTTGCTGCAGTTAAGCTTTCCTCCTCCACCACTCAGTTCTTGCTTCAGTCTGAATCAGTTTTACCACCCAAAAACCCAGATCGCTGTTGCTCATCCAAAACCCACACAGCCGCCACCACCACTTCATCCATCACCACGTTTTACGGATTCCTGTTGACTGAAGGTAAGCGAAAGTTGCCCTCTTCATATCCTCAAGTAAATTTGATTATCTATTAATTTCCCCCATTTATTTTTCAAATTTATATCGATTGCTAAGATTTTAGAAGGGTGTATGGGTTTGGGTAATTTTCATACGCTTGAGGTAGAGCTTTTGTAGACAAATATTGGTTATCTGCTATTTGAATTGAATTGGTATTGATTTTTTTTTTCATATAATTTTGGAACGATGAGATGGGCCATAGGTTGGCATATTTGAATGATGTATAGATCAGTTTATATATGTGATGATAATATACATTATATGTTCAGGAAGGAGAAAGAAATTGAAGGTTGTCGCAACCAGTAACAGGTATTGGGCATACCTATTAGTTTCTAAACCACTTAGATTATAGCAGTCGGCGTCGTCCGAAAGCTAAATTTTTTCTGGGTTCAGAGGAGATACCGATGAGCTTTAAGTGTAAATTGTAAATAAGTTGGGAGATTGAGAGATGAGCCGAGGAGGGAGATAGGGAGAGCAGGAAGCAGGCAGCGCGGTGATTTTTTACGTGTTGAGGGGGAGGGTCGGGAGATTGAAATGTTGTGTGAAGGAATAATCCAGACTAATGAAGAGGCAAGGCATCTCACTGTGCAGTTTAAGAAAAAGAATAAACAATAAAAAAATTGAAACATGTGTTTTCCTGTTCTTTCGCTGTGTTTAGTACCCACACCAATTAACTTTGATAAATTATCTTTACTATCCCATATCATTTCATAAAAAAAAGAAATGCATTTTTATCTTTACTATCCCAGAATCTGTTGTTTAAGATAAACAAGAAAGGTTTGGTTGGATTGGTTTACAAGGAGAGAGGGATTGTTTGTCACGTAAAAGGAGAGTTTAACTCTCTTTCAATTCTATAACGTAAATCTGAATATTGTTATATTTTCAAGTCATATCTTATGTGATTAGTTTTTGTACATGGTATAAGTTAGTAAACGTACTGACATGAAGAAGACCATGTCATGCATTTCTACTTCTATTCCAATCCGATGTATATCAGACCGTTCCCGGTTCCCGCAACAGCCTCTGGTGTGTCTTCTACAACTCCGACATCGACGAGCTAGATAGCTGCTTTGCCTGGTAAGATTTTTGTCCTCAATTTGAAATTGGTTGTTTAATTCCTGTTATTTGCCAAGAAATCTTGAATATACCCATAACTTGCCTCCCTCTTTCAGTTTTGAAATTTAAATTTTAAGGTATGAGGGGTTTCGATAGCCGACCCCACTTAGTGGGAAAAGGCTTTGTTGTTGTTGTTGTTGTTGAGAGGTTTCGAACAGGGGCTTAAATTGGGTTAGGGTTTTGTTCAATTTTAATTTCTTTTTTCTGGTTTTAGTTTCAAGTTTTGGCTTCAATCTCTTTACTTATCAAAATTTTCATGAAATTTAAATTTATTTGTCTAATTAGATTGCGTATGCCTTCAATTCTTTATTTAATTGTTCTGTTTTCATTCACGTTTATATACTAACAATATGTATATTTTACTTTCACGTTTGCAATACAATGAGCGTATTTCGATCCACCATTTGGAATCTTTTTACTCGAACAAGTAGATTAGAAACCGAGTGCGATGAAGTTGGAAACCCAAAGTAAATGGATCTCGTAATCAATTTGGTGGCTTCCAGTGCATATTGCTTTGCTTGAATGGTCAGAAAATCCTTTCATTATACTATCTATATTCAGTTATAATACTTTCACTTGCATACGATGCAATGAAATAGAATATTAGTTGAACTAGAAACGATTCTAATTATCCAAACATCAAGTTGGGTGCCACTTTAAATGTAGGACAATTGAAAAAAAGGATCTTTGGTTGCTGTTTTTGGATTTGACAATATTGGCTTCACTGTAAATGAGAACAAACTTTAATTTCGATACATACATGCACATATTTATATACTAACAATGTACATCTTACATTTGCAATTCACTATTTGAAACCTTTTCAGTCGAACAAGAAGATTAGAGTCCAAATATGAAGATTTTGAGACCCAAAGTAATCGGATCTCATGATCGAATTGGTGGTTTTCTAAGCATATTACTTAATGCTGAATTATTTTTTTCCAACATAACGTTTCGTTGCCACTTTAAATGTAACAAAACCGAAAAAGAATCATCAATTGCTCTTTTTTGACTTGGCTTTGGTGGCCTCGCTGTAAGTGTGAACAAATTTTTTTTATCGCAAATACTTTATTGTTTATGCTTATACATGCTTTGTTTAGATTGCTGAAACTGCAAGAATTTTATGCAGCGTCACAAATGACTTGGCCTGACTTCAATCTCAAGAGGTTTAAAAAAGGTATTTATGATGTCATATAACACGTAGAACTTGGAAATTAAACAAGCACAATCTCATATCAGGATTTAGTCTTGAATATCTGTGCAGGTGCATTTGGCCACATCACCAAGAGCTACTACTACGCATTAGGGACAATTAAACAAGCACGTTGTAGAATCCATAAAAAATCATGTAACTTGTATATAGTTAGGACTTAGAAATTAGCTATTTTGATGGTACATAGGCTCTTAATGCAAACCCAATAGAATCAAAATGAAATTGAAAGACTTATTATACCATGTAAATTAAGTTGCTTTGATTAATTTCGGAATTATTTAGAAGTGGTTTTGATAGATTGTGGGTTACGATTCCAAAACCCGCTGCAAAGCGTAGACATTTTTGTTAGTGATAATTCTATTCATACCACAAAGGATTATATATACAAGCATGTATACTTGACAATTAAAGATTTCTACAAATCAGAAATACAATCAAAATCAAGTTACAATATTAATTCCTAAACATTAAGAGAAATTATTTCCTTAGACAAGACTACTTCTAAGCAGCTACCATCCCGCATCACTGACAACAAACACTTCCACTTTGCATAGCAGATGGATTATTTATCATAACTAAGCGACGCTCTTGAATTACCAACCCAGTAAAGATCGAGAAAGCGTCATTGACGTAGTTCATTACCCCAAACCCTAATTGCTACATGCATACAGGATGTCTGACCTAGTTAATTATGTTCTCAAGCTAACACACCATGGCAGAGTAATTACACAAACAAGAACATGATTTTGACCTGAAGAACATGCGCCGCAACCACTTCGTCACCCGAATAAGAAACCGAATAGTGTGCATTACACTGACCATGCCCAGCAAAGTAGTCCAAGTAAGAACGGATATCCCGTATAGGTTAATGCTTGTATCTGTAGGTGAACCATGGACGATCATATACAGCGCAACTAGGTAGGTGAATGCCAGGAATGTGAGAGTGACGCACATGGACATCGATAAGAGCCACGTGCAGAACCGATTGTGGAGAGGAAATCCACTAACGAGCAAAAGGGTGACTCAAAGAAGCAAGGAACGAGATGGTATTGGATGTTAGGAAATCGGCGAAGTCGTCATCATTACCGTAGCTTAACACTGCAGTTCCAGCTCTACATACTCTCGTTTCACTGCAAATTGTTCTGGTATAATTGGTTCCAGAATAATAAATGGTAGTGTTTGTATCATTATGGTCCCAGACACCACCAGGTGGGTTGACTACGGCTTGAAAAGTCATGGTCGAGATCATCGTAGCCACAACCATCAGCATGCCACGTGTCTCGCCCAACCCAATTACTCGGATATCTCAACCATTCCATCAATTTTGTCCAGCACCTCCTTGCTGGCGTTGATCCCTTTTCCGATGATGCTACTCGTTTGTGAAGCTTCTTTTCCTTCGTTACCCTTTTTGGATTTGGTGATACAACAGCAGCAGCGGCAACATCTGAGTTAGGCTTATCATTTTCATTATTTTGTCTTCTGATTAATCCTGCGTCCATCAAAATCTGTTGAATTTCTAAGCTTCTGCTAAAGTCCTCTCTTGCAACGCTGCTGTACTCTAAGATATCTAACATGGTCAGAGACATCCCATTCACACCAGTTGCTTCTGCTCTTATAGCATCAACGGAAAGCAGGTAACGTATAGTCTGCAAAATAATATATACACTTTATTAATTTGGTGGAAATTATGCTCCTAAGGGGAGCAAACAAAAGAAAGTACACATAAATTTGGGTTAATCTCAATTTACTACTTTGAATTTTCTTGATTTTCTATATTTGATGTCTAAATTTTTTTCATCTCAGTTTGGTACTTAAAATTTTTTTTCGTCTCAGTTTGGTACTTAATTAAAGTCATAATTCTAGAACAGTTTTACAAATGCGTTAAGTTTTCCGTCAAAAGTTCCGTTAACTGATGATGTGATTCTGTTGATCCTAAAAACTATCAAGCCTACGTGGTGCGCAGGCCGAGTAATCTATGAGCTAACTACGTCCTTCAGTTGTGTGCGGGGCGTGCCAACTCGTCGGCCGAGGAGTAAAATGTGTTGATGTTGCGTTGGGTGCGCGACTGACTTCTGCGTCTTGCGATTGCGATCGAGAAAGGAACACCTCTCGGCCTCTTGGGTTCTCGAACCTGAAGACAAGGCTACTATTCTTACGAAGTTCACGAATCATCGTCGTCGGATTCGGTCATAGTGATGGTATTCGTCAGAGTAAACTCACGCCGAATCGACACCAAAGTGTAAGGGCATAAATACTTAAAGCGGATATAAGTCTTAACAGTGAACTTGATTCGGCCGTCGGAATGCCGAACTCTAAATCCCACTTGAGGGTATCTAATCATAAAATAACTCGGCGTGCAATGTGCCGAACCCAGCAAACCGTAACACCTCACTTCGCCGAAAAGGCTGATGAGATGACCTCGACCAATAAGGATTCGAAAATCTTTCTCGACCGAGACTTGGATAGATAATCAGTCGCCCTTGTCGCAGTGCTGTTTATCCAAACTGAAGGTGCTTCGCAGTCGGCTGATTCTATGGCAACAGTGCTGTTTATCCAAACTGAAGGTGTTTGCCGGTTGCCTTCACAGTGTTGTTTATCCAAACTGAAGGTGTGTCGGCGAAAAGAGAAAAGAAAAAATCTCAAGGTTGTTGAGAGAATTTGCGCAGGGTAGTCGTGTGTTGAATTGGAGGGGTCTTTTCCGTTGTGTGTAGCTTTGTATTTATAATACCAAACTGCATGATGACCGCCTTGTATAGCCTTTATCGTGAACAATAAATCACGTCTTGATACTAAAGGATAATCAACCAATGTTTGATAATCACATTGAGAAATCCTTATCAACACAATTCGCGGCATGCATGGCTGAACGAGTTCCCAATATTCATGCTGAGTGAATCTGGCTTCATAAAGGTCTTCATGCTGACTCACGGTATAAAAGCATATGCCAATATGGTAAATCTTTTAGCATAAGTTAATTATCTGATTGTTGCTACCTTATCATCACCATCATCCAAAAAGTCCCCGTGTTCCTTCATAACGACCTGATACAGTCCCACTTCAACTCTAGGTTTTGCATGCAATCCTTATTTCCCATAGATGTGATAATGCATGCAATTGCATTATCCCATTTAATTAAAATTCCATGAATATTTGGTGATGATAATTACCCCATCTTGCATGCTTCATCATCTGATGTCGTGCCTTGTAAATTGCAGTCGTATCATTCCACACGGCATTGCCAGATTCTATCAAATCAATCTCCTAATGATAGCAATACATGAATAAGACAAAGGCATCTGCCCATTATTCCATTTCGTTCAAACCGACTGGGTTCTTAGATAATAATAAGTTAAAATAATTTAATATACTATTAAGAGATAATAATTATGATTAAAACCACAATATTGTCCCTCAATAATAATAAGAAATTACCGTAACAATTCCACGAAGGTCTAGAACTCTACTCATTCAACGGTTTCGATCGTTTAGGCCGATGGTGTAATTTTGGGTCTAAACAGATTCTCATGTGAACAATAAATGTACGCCACGTATTAATATGGGCCCAGATGGTTATTAAAAAAAATTAACAAAAGAACTAAAATAAAATAAAAAAAAAAATAAAAATTCTACAAACCTAAAAACCTAAAAGGGTGAAGATCATTTAAAAGAAAAAGGAAGTCGTGCAGCTGACCATGAAGGTCTCCGACGACCACCACGGTAGATTCCAGGCTTAGCTGATCGACGTTTGCGATCTTGGATGTGCAGAGGATCAAGCCATCGACAACCTCTACAGGAAACACGTCGGGCAAATGGGTCGGGTCCAGATTTCTAGATGCCCAATAAAAAACAAACCTGAGGTTCCTAACCCATTCCAAACTAAGCTTTCCGTCGGCTGGCCAGCCAACTGGGGTTTTCGGATTAGGCTTTGGCTACGATGGGTTGTCTTCGGATTCGAAGTTGGTGATAGCGGAAGATGCCGAATCGATGACCGGCAACAGTTCTGCTGCTAATACTTCTTGCAACTTTTTGAGATGCAGATGGACGGAATTTTCTTTTATTCCGGTTGAAAGGGAGGTAAGGGAAGGGAGTGGGTTGCAGATCTGGGGAACGGAAACCCATATGCAGCACAAAAAGCAGTGGATTCATTCTACCGCTGCCCCATGTGCAGTCGAAGGGAGGGAGATAGATGCTTTTGTTCTTTTGGTCAAAGGGAGAAATGGAGATAGAGGCTCAAATTTGGTCATTTGCGATTCCTCCTCAATGTTTATCATATAACTTATGTGGTGTAGTCAAATGAGGATTTTAAAGAGTAGGGATTCTCATCCTTCTTTTTGTCTTTTCCTTACCTCCTCTACGATCACGGATAATCCATGATAAAATTTTATATTAATTTTTTATAGAAACAAACAAATAAAATAGAGAATATGAAAGGAATGAACGGAAGGGGATGGAAAAATGATGTAAGAGAATCCTAGTTTGAATTTTAAAATATTTTAAAAGACTTTAAAATTATGGTGTAGTCAACTAGGATTTAAAAAAAAAAAAACTAGGATTTTAAAAGATTTTTTTTTTAAGAATTCATTCAAATACTAGGTAGTCAATTAAAGAATTTTAAAAGACTTTAGAATCCTAGTGTGGTCAACTAGGATTTTAAAAGATTTTTATAAAGTCCATGCAAATCTATCGGTAGTAAAAAAATTCATAAATTTTAAAAGATTTCTTTCAATAAGAGATTTTGTAAGATTTGAGAAGAGATTATAAGCATAACAAAATCCTACATCCACTCTAGGATTTCTTTTCAATCCCCTCGCGCTCTTTCTCTCTCTCTCCATTCTGCAACTAGATCTTTTTTTCTCACTCTCCATTTTCTTCCAGACATAGAACCTGCCAACTTGATTTCCTTTCACGTTCATCCGTCACCGTCCCAGTTGCAAACTACAACATTTTTAAAATTTTTTATTTCCTTTATTTTGGACTGTGTAATAGTATTTCTTGTAATGTTTTGATGGGAAGTGTTAATGGCTACTAATCATTCTTGTAATGATTATGTGTTCTATTTGAATGTGTTAATTTTTTACCATGTTAATTGAACTCTTCGAAATTACTACTAAGAATCTTATTGTCAATTCAAGTTTTCTGTTCTTTTTCGTGTAATCATGATAGTGTAAGGGTGCACGTATCTTCCAAAGCCTATTCATATTCGTATTTATATTGGTAGTTGTACTTAGACTGAACAAAACATTATGAACTAATCAATTGTTGAGGAAAAATGATTAATTTTGAGACATTTGATTTAAGAAGCATTACTTGTTTTGGTTAGTTAAAAATGATTGTTCGTAAAGAAATCACAATTCAAATGAGAAAGGGAAAAAAAGACATATTTGATTGGTTTATATTTCCATATATATATATATATATATATGTTTATGTCTTTTTCAAATTGTGCACTGAGAAAAATTTTTATATTGTATGAGTAAAAAAAGAAATCCTAAGAAATACATGAAAGAAATCCGTATAAATCCATAAAAATCTATAATAGAAATTCATAATAATTTGTCAAAATCCATATGGAATTGTAGAATCTATTAAAATCATTTGAAATTTGTTACTTAAATTTGAATTTTTTTAATATTCACGTGTGCCATATTGACATGTAGCGCTAAATCAATATCCACGTGAGTGCCGAGTCATCAGTTAACAGAGGTTCTTACGAAAAACTTAACGGATGTGTTAAAGTATCATAGAATTATGATTTTAGATATCAAATTGAAATGAAAAATACTTGATGTATCAAATGTTGAAAATTAAAAAACTTCAAAGTAGTAAACTAAGATTATTCCCATAAACTATGTAAAAAGGGAAACAAACAAAAGAAAATTTACATGTGAACATACCTAAACTACCTATTAATAGAACCCTAGTTGTCAACCAAAACTTTATGAAATTATTATTTTAACCCACTTATAAAAACTAAACAAAAATAAAAGGGTTAATCTCAATTTACTACTCTGAAATTTATTGGTTTCAACATTTGGTACATCAAGTTTTTTTCGTCTCAAAGTAGTACATGAAGTCATAATTTAGGAATATTTTCATATATCCGTTAAGGTTGTTGTTAAATCAGTTGCTAACTAGTGACGTGACATCCATGTAGACAATGACTAGGCACCATGTGTCAATGGGGCTCACATGAAAATTAAAAAATTAATAAAAAGTAGAAATTTTTTTTTTTAAAAAACCCATCGTCTTCTACCTTCCCTGATCCTACTCAACTATTCCTCCATTCTCTCATCTGCACTCATCCAAGCCTCTCTCCCTAAAACGTGCACGATCTAGAACCCTCATGGACCAGCGAAGATGAACAGGATCGCGGTGAGATCAGTGGTCGGCGGTCTGCGCGAAGCCGGGAACTACGCCGCTGCATTTCCATAGTTGTCGTTGTCACATCCCGACTCGGACCCTCACCACATCCTAGGCTAGACTCCACCGTAGCACGATATTGTCCGCTTTGGGCCCTAACCACACCCGTGCCCAGGCCCCCACCACATCCCGGGCTCGACTCCACCGTAGCACGATATCACATCCTGGGCTCGACTCTACCGTAGCATGATATTGTCCGCTTTGGGCCCCAACCACGCTTGTGCCCAGGCCCCCACCACATCCCGGACTCTACTCCACCGTAGCACGATATTGTCCACTTTGGGCCCCGACCACGCCCTCACGGTTTTGTTTCTGGGAACTCAGACGAGAAATTCCCAGTAGGTCACCTATCATAGGATTGCTCTTGCCCGAACCCACTTAACTTCGGAGTTCCGATGGAACCCGAAGCCAGTGAGCTCCCAAAAAACCTCGTGCTAGGTAGAGATGAGAAAATACATATAAGGCTTACAAGATCCACTCCCCTGGGCGATGTGGGATGTTACAGGCGTTGCTAGGCTGTTGGACAGCGCCGAGTTCCTGAACCACCGAAGCAACGACGGTTTTAGCAAATTTGGGGCTAGCTTTGAAGTTTCTGGGTTTTGTCTTCTTAAAACCAAATTGTGAAGGTTTTAGCTTCAATTGAAGCTCTGTCAACGACATGGCTAGGTTTTGTATTAGAGAAATTGAAGGTTTGGTTTGTTGATTAAGGGATGTGTGGCTATGATTCTCACGAAGGGAAGGGGTAAGGTAGGAGAGAATGAAGGATGGTTGGATGGGATTGCGGTGGGGGTGGGGGAAAGAGGAAAGGGATCCTCTCCGGATCCCTTCTTCCTAATCCACCAAATCAAGGAATCTATGTTGTTGAAATTTGATTCAACGGTTACAAAAATGGGCCCACTTTAAAAGTTATAATAACTTCAACTGTTGGATCAAATTTCAATGGTCCGGATCCCTTGATTTGATGGATAGAGCATCTCCAAAGGAGATGTCAAATATAGTATGTCAAAATGTTATTTGATGGTTGATGTGGCAAATTGAATACAAGTGCTAAATTCTCTTCTTTTCCGATAGATGTGTTAAATATTTATTTTATTATTTTATTGGGCCTAGAGTTACATTAACAATTAAAAAATAATCAAAATTACTTTTAGTTTTTATTCTATTGGTTGTTAATGGGATCCATGCATTAAAAATTACATTAAATATATTTGACTCCTTCTTTGTTTGTTGTAAAAAAAGGCAGCTAGAAAGCAAGGAGTCAAATAACTCACATGCCACATCATATATGTCATATTCACTGGAGAGCACTTAAATGCCTTTTAATCCTATTTGGTATATTTGACATCTCCTTTGGAGATGGTCTTAAGAGGAAGGGATCTGGAGATGATCCCGTTTTTGGGGAAAGAGATAGGAGACGGTGGTTTTTTTTAAAATTCCACGTGGGCGCATTTTGACACGTGACACTCTGTTATTGTCCACGTATGCACCACGTCACCAATTAACAGCTGATTTAACACTAACCTTAATGGATGTATGAAAGTGTCATAAAACTATGATTTCAGATAACACTTTGGCGGTGATGGAGTTAGAAATTTATGTCGGAGGGGCCTTTAAACTAAATGAAAGAAATTAAAAAAAAAAACATATAGTAATATAGTTAATTGGAGAACAATTAAAAGTTAATTTTTCTAGCCTTTTAGTTAAGGCCAGAGCTTTAAAATTTAGATAAAATTTAGTATTGAGATGATTATGTTATAAAAATAGAGCTTGTTTACAAGTTTTGGTAAAAAAGGATTTCAAGTAAAAATTAAGGTTATGACTAGCTCAAAAATATTGTAAGATATTTCTTTCAACATAACGTAAAAATTTAAGGTTTGGCTAGCTCAAAAATGTTACAAGATATTTCTTTCAACATAACTAAATCTTATTCTCGAATGTATAAACCTTATTTTATATGAATTGATAAAAAAGGTAGAAGGTTTTTGGCTGTGGACATCTATTATTGGGAGTTTTAAAAATCATTGGCGTCAGGAAGTTTCGACCAGCGGACCTCGTGTACAACCAAACTCTACTTAAACCATTACACCACATGCTTCAATTGTTATATTAAGTAGACAACACATATACGACTGCAAATTCCAGGATGGGCCTCGCCTTCTTGTGGCTCTGCCACTACTTTGGGATGAAAAAACTTGATATACCAAATTTTAAAACTAAGAAATTTCAGGTTAATAAACTGAGATTAACTGAATATAATAAATTTGGGCAATTTAATAATTACATAAACATAAATTTTGCTATTTTTTACCGCAACCTCACATCCAAGTTAGTATAGCATGATGTATTTAAAACTCAAAAAAAAAATTGTTAAATAAAAAACTTACAAATAAAATAAAATAATAATAAAAAATTGCTCATCATTATACCAATTTTCGTAACTAATTTTTTTTTAAATTTTAAAAACTAGTTACACTTCATAATAAAAAACAAAACAAAAGAAAATTGTTCACACAGCGTGGGCATCTGCTAGTGTTAATTAATATAGTAAAAAACTAAGAATATCCAGTATAGAAAATGGAAATATATATACGTACCTTAATTTGCCTTAGCATCAAAGCTAAGTGCAGGATGGTCACACCACCATCACAGCCAGCTCTTGAGTTGAGGAACTCACCATTTCTGTCGTCTCTTTCAACCAACAGTCTATCAACCAACAGTTTCAAGCACTCGAACTGGTTGTGTATAATACACAAGTGCAAAACTGTTTCTTTCGATCTGTTTTTAACTTTGTCATAAATGGACTCAGGATTTTTACCAATCAACTTCTGGAGCACCTCAACTCCTCCTCTCATGGCTGCATAGTGAAGAGGGATTCTTCCATTTTCATCAAAATCCGAGCACGCACCAGCATACACAGATAACAAAGCTTCGACGGTCTCCTTGTGGCCCTTAGCAGAAGCCAAATGCAGGGGTGTGCGTCTATCGGCGTCCACCCCCTCTGCAAGTTTGGGATTGTTAGTGCAAAGGGCTTTGGTAAACTCAGTGTGGCCGTGCAAAGCTGAAACATGCAAGGGGGTTCCGGTTATGCCGGTCTGCAGGGATATTCTCCATAGAATGTCTGGGTCTTTTTCTATCAACCTATTTAGGGATTCTACACTCCCGGTCCGTGATGCCTTGTACACTTCATCTTCATCGTGTGATGCCTTGTACCCTTCATCTTCATCGTGCGGTCTGATCTCCATTATTTTCTCTCTCTCTTTGAACTTTGCTTCACTTAGAAGAAATTAAATGCCAAAACAAACGTAGACTACATGTAGCAATTGGAGTTGCCAAACCATGCAATTTTATAGATGAGAAACACCAGGGAGTCTCTCAAAAGTGAAATGCATAAACTTTCTATTATATCACAATTTAACATTGATTTCTGTGTCAACATTATAAAATATTATGCTAAAATATGAGGTGACACCGAGTTCATAAATTTAGTTTAAAAAAAATTGGTTTGCAACTTGATTTAAAAAAATTTGGTCTTTCTAGCATTATCTATAAATTTAGTCTCCTCAACATTACCATATCAAAAGAATTAGGGAGATTATATTAACACACTTCAAATTACTTCTCTCACATCTTTTTAATTTTGTTTGTACAATACTTGACCAATCCCGAAACTACTGAGCACCGGTCAACGTTATATCATCAAGGACCCAGAAGAGTTTCCCTCCAACCTAGAGGCCAATCACAGCGCGACACGTGTTGAAGTCTCAGCAGAACAAAACGCCTTTCTGGTTGTTAGAAGAGTACTTCTAAAAGTATCTCCAATAATGCTAGTTATATTTTTGTTATTGTAGCAAACTAAATGACTCAAATGTTAATTTGGCTAGCCACCACTTTCAACAATATTAGCTATTTTAGCTTAAGGTAAAATATTTTTAAATTTTAGGGTAATGCTAGGGTGTCCAACTATTTAGACCAAATTGTATAAATCATGTGACATGGTTGTTAATTATTGGATTATTATTAAGTGTTAATTAACATGCTTATTTTCTATTTGTGGCATATCACATTATTTACAAATTTGATCTAAAAAGTTGGCCTACCTAACATTACCCCGAAACTTAACAACCCAATTAAGTCCATATTCTCCTCTAGCTAAATTTTGCTAGCTATGTTTTTTTAAAGTAGCCAAAAAAATCTCATTTAGTTAGGATGTTGGAGATGCTCTAACCTTTCCTAAAGAAATATTTTTTTTTAAACACTCAACCTAAGGTGATATGTGCATGCTCGCATGATTTAATACGTGTAGCTTTTTCAGAGGCAATTACAAAAAGACACTTTAAAGTGATTCGTGTATATCCGCACATGAACTTATGCTAAATTTCTAACCACTGAAGCTCATGCGGAGCTTTCAAATTATGGAGGACCAAGACCAGTCCCCATCCTGCATGCAAGTTGCCAAAATCTGATACGTACACGCAGCAAAATTATTTGTGTTTTCCGAGAAATTTGTATAGAATACAATAATGGTAACCGTATGTAGGGCAGGAGCGTCATCTCTTGAAGTCTTCCCAAGTCTTGGTTCGTAATGGCCCGCGACAGGTTACCCGAGCTGGTAGCACTGAGAGCACTGAGAGCACAGAGCATCTCCAATGATTTTCTATATTTTGTCCCTACAATCATATAAATGTCCGAAGCCTTCCAATGGGTTAGGAAAACGATCAGACATGGTATAAAAAAAATTCCCACAAATAAGGATCGGTTTTAGTGACTCAAAATGGAGTGGAGCCCAGATGAATTTTTGAGTGGGAAACAAGATCACCACGTGAAAACATGCGCTGATAAAGTTTTTTTTAGGGAAAATAGTTTTGAAATTCATATAACTCATTACTTTGATCTCTGGTCTCTGAATTTGCCCACCATTAATTATTTTAGTTCTTTCGTGAAAAATCTCTGGAAGTGGAAGCATCGGCGACGTTGTTATCGGATCGAAGAAAGAGCAGCGAGAGAGATAGAGAGAGAGAGCGGGCAACTCCATTTAGAAGATTTGATTTTGCTGTAAATTTCACTTCTTTAGGCTTCCACGAACACCATAATGCTTAGTAAAACGCAATCCTTAGTAAAACGCAAGTGAATTTTAGAAAAGCACATGAAGTACTTCCTGGAATAAGTATATGAAGCATTTCAAGTACTTTTGGAATTCAAAAATATTTTCTCTAAAAGCCATCTCATTCAATTTAAAAATATTTTCAAGTAACATTTTGATTAAAAAGTCCAATTCCAGAGATCATATGTGATAAAAACCGTACACACAAAAAAAAAAGAAAAAAAAGAGAAATTAGGTTTTAATATATCATTTTTCCAGCTTAGTAATGGAAACCTTAATCCTTTTTACACTTTTGGTCAAGGTCCTTTAGTTTTTATTGTGTCCTAATTTGAATAACAATAGATTACATGTTAGCATATTTAAATTTTATAATTAAAATTTCTTAAACATTTCCAAAATGTTACATTTGGTATATTTACTTGGTTAAATTTTGTATCATGTATTTGTATTTTTAATTTGCAACTATTTTTTAATCTTTACCGATTTTCTTGTTAATTTTAATTTGTACTCATATATTTAAACTTTTATTTATGCCCTTAATTATTTTAAATCTTTTATTTGTACTCATAGTTTATAATTCAAAATTTTCAAACATTTTTCATTAGTTTTCCTAAAAAAATATTTTTTTGGAAAGATCAGAGCATCTCCAACATCCTAGCTAAATGAGATTTTTTTTGGCTACTTTAACAAAACAATGCAGAAAACATAGCTAGCTAAATTTAGCTAGAGGAGAATATGGACTTAATTGGGTTGTTAAGTTTCAGGGTAATGTTAGGTAGATCAATTTTTTAGACCAAATTTGTAAATAATGTGATATGTCACAAATAGGAAATAAGCATGTTAATTAACGCTTAAATAGTAATCCAATAATTAACAACCACGTCACATGATTTATACAATTTAGTCTAAATAGTTGGACACCCTAGCATTACCCTAAGATTTAAAAATATTTTACCTTAAGCTAAAATAGCTAATATTGTTGGAAGTGGTGGCTAGCCAAATTAACATTTGAGTCATTTAGTTTGCTACAATAACAAAAATATAACTAGCATTATTGGAGATACTTTTAGAAGTGCTATTCTAACAACCAGAAAGGCATTTTGTTCGCTATTATAAATAATCGCTCTCTCAAATTTTTTTCTAAGTGAAGCAAACTTTTCACAGAGAGAAAACCGGAACTATTCAGTCCGGTATTTAAATCTTAGTTGATTTTTTTTTTCAACACGATTTTTTACGGTTTATTTTATCGCCGTTCAATTCGGTTCCACGATATTTACTCACACCTTAAAAGCCAGTAAAAGTAAGGAAACTTCAAGTTTGTTTTTAGCACTACCAGCTTGGGTAACCAATCGTGGGGTATCACGAACGGAAGATGATCATCTCCTGTGCTCAGGATGGGAATCCTCCTGACCCAATTGTTGGTTCAGTAATGGAAATGATGGTTTGTGTAGTGTGCTAGGGAGTGTCGGTGGGAAGGATCTCACTAAACCCAATTTAAAACTTTACAGAAACTTAACCAAAAACGGGTTCTCAAATCAATCATGGTCATTTCATTGATCTCTGTCTTTTATATTATTTAGTAAATTAGATCTACAATAAATTTTAATTGGCTTATTATATTAACACCCCACAAATTGTTGAATAAACTCCACATACTTAATACACCCACATTTATTTTTTCAATTAAAAATTATCTTAATACACCATACTTCCTTCCCCATAATACTCTCACACCTCACATTTTCAATATACACCTTATATTTTCTACATACACCTCACATTTCTCAAATCTTATAACACTCATTTTTAATTTTTCCGAATGATTTCAAACCTTCTGAACGTTAGTTTGCCGAATGAATTCAAATTGAATGATTTGAAAATAATCAATACACGTCAATTATTTGCTAAAAATCATCATACAACTCAATATCAATATTAGTCTAATACTTTAATTGATAAAGGGGGCGTAGTCTTATGCTCTGTTAGTCTTATGCAAATAATCAATAAAGCTTTTTATTTGGACAAAAAATGCCGACTGGATTTTTGGCAAAAGATGCCGCCTGGGATTTAAGCATATGTGGGCTTGTTTTCAATTCCACCATTAAAACCCATGTCATCTATTTTTAATATTATGTGGTAATTTTAGATGTTTAATTCTTCATGTAACTCATCGCTAAAAGATTAATACGAACATAGAAGCTTAAATAACACAGTAAAACCAAGATTAAATAATTATCGATGTCGTCAAAATCACTAAAACAATGAAAAATATGAAGTCTTACCTCATGTGAAGCTTTCGAAACACCGATTTCATATTCTATTTGTCAAAAATAATTTTTCTCAAACAACGTGTTTGTAGTTTCATTGGTTAGGGTTTTATTCAACAATGGAGGGTGGAAGAAGATAAGTAATACATTAAAAGTGATACGGGTTACACACCCTGACCGAGATCAAGGCATGTTGGCCATCACGTGAGAGTGATGTAGCCATGTGCACAGTGCGGAAGCAATAAAGATAAGAGTTATACGAATAATTAAAAACCAAATTAATTAAGTGCACTACAAAACAGGAAGTGATATGAGTTAGTTATAACGGTAAACACTCCTAATCAGAGCATAATAGTCTAAATGTTTTACAAAACCATTTCATTTATCAACATATCTAACCCCTCGTTGTAAAACATGTATAATTTTTCCCAGAATCAAAATATAAGCATATACATAAATGAATATGAAAATATATCAATTCAAATCATACTTCACATAATCATATGCCTATGTATGCCATTCCAAAATATAACAAAGTAAACAATCCAGGTAAGAATGATTTCATAGAAATATGATATGTTAGCCGGAACCTCTGTGGTAGTCTGTACGGCTGAATTCATAGCTCAAAAGTTAATCTAGCCGGAGTCACTACAACAACCTATACGGCAATATAATGCACATAAGTTGGAACCACTAAAAAGGGGTCTGTACGATAAGATTGGGTGTAATATAATTATGCTCAATTTTACTCTCTCATAATAGTCGGGCGATAAATCGTTAGTCACCTATGAGTCGGAACCATAAATAAGGTCTATACGACAAGACTGTGCACTTAAGTTGGATCCAATATGAGCATATAGTGCGGGAGGTGATATAAATAAACAGGCATGTACTTCATATCTCTGGCTAAATCACAATCACCCTAGGTGCAGTTTTATGAGCTCTCAACATTATTCAATCACATATCACATCATC